CCGCGCCCGGTTCCGCGGCCGCCCGGGCCGCCAGGCATAGCAGAGCGGCGGGGACAAGCGCGGCCCACGCCCGCCGGCCGCTCATCCCTGTGGGCGCCGCCATCTTGGAAAGGAAGCGCGGGCTACGGCGGGCGGGAGGGGTCAGCGCGCGGCGGCGGCAGCGCCACGGCCGCCATGTTGGGTGAGGGCAAGGGGTGTGGGCAGGGGAAACCTGGGGGGACACGGGGACAGGGGACAAGGGGACAGAGGGCTGTGGGGACGGACAGGAGAACACCGCGACAAGGGGCTGTGGCGTCAGGGGACTACAGAGACAAGGGACCACAGGGACAGGGGGCTGTGGGAACAGGGGGCAAGGGGGACAGGGGGCTGTGGGAACAGGGGGACAAGGGGGCCATGGGGACAGGGGGCCATGGGGACAAGATGAGCATTATGGTCCCTTCCAACCCAAACCATTCCACATGGATTCCATGACAAGGACAATTAACCATGCCACTTTTAATTGCTTCTTGCTGCACACGAAGAAAAGCCCCATTTCCAGAAGGAAACAGCCGTGGAAGCTCAGCTGGGGTGGGGAGGGGGGGCTGTCCTGGCTCAGGGCAGGGGGTAACTGGCCTGGTTGGCCACCCCACACTGGTTGCCGGCGTCCTTCAGCAGGAACATGTAGCCCTGCTCTCCCCACCTCTCTGTCCAGCTGCAGGAAAAGACGGGAGTGAGCTCCTTCTTGATCCTGGGCACAGGGAACAGCCCTGGATCGACGAGAGACAAGGAGGGGAACCAGAGCCCCCAGAGGCCCCATGGGACGGGGCCACGGGTTAGTGCTGGCCTTGGCAGAGCAGGGTTAGTGGTTGATCTTAGAGGGCTTTTCCAACCTGGATAACCCCACGATTCTGGGGTGTGGGGGCAGGAGGGGCAGCGGGTTTGGGGGGACGCGCTCAACCCTCACCTGTTCTTTAGGATCCAGTAGCTGAGGTTGTGCCCACCCATCCGGGTCGTGCCGTAGCCCACGGCCAGCATGGCGTGGTTCGTTCTCCAGCTGCCAGAGCCGCAGCCGAAGAGGCCTGGGAAGAGCAGAGCTGTGCTGAGCCGAGGGCTGGCCCTGCTCCCTTCTCCTCGGGGTGGTGGATCCCATTCCCCTGGGGAAGCTCAGCAGCCCAGCCCTGCCTCGGTTCACCCCCACCACGCCACGGGGAGCACACGGTACCCGACTTGTAGAAGCGAAAGGAGCTGGCGTCCACCGACACCGACACCGGGCCCACGGTGGCCACCGCCTGCGCCAGGGCCTCCTCGCTGCCCCGCGCCACCCTCACGAAGCCGGAGCAGTTGGCCGCCTTGTCCCGGGGGTTGTATCGGCAGCGGGAGTTGTCCTGGGAGCGGGAGGGTGTCACCACGGCCGGGACACGCCGGCACTGCTCTGCCCTGCCCCGGGTGCCCTGCTGTCCCTCACCGTGCCCACGTAGGGGTAGACACGCTCCGAGTTGAGGCCGCCGTTGTCGCGCACGTACTGGAAGGCTCGTTCCATGTGGCCACCGCAGCAGCCGCGGTTGCCCAGCTTTCGGGTGCAGTCGATGAGGTTCTGCTCGCTCAGCACCACCAGCTTCCCCGTCCGCTTGAACATCAGCCCCTCCAAGGCCCCCGTGGCACTGAATGCCCAGCAGGACCCGCAGAACCCCTGGGTGAGGTGGGAACCGCAAGGGGGGGGTCACGGCACTGCCCCAAAACCCCCCAGGCAGGGACGCTGTGGCCCCCCCAGTGCTGGTCTCAGCTACAAAGTCACCATGGCCAAAACTACGGGAGCTGCTCCTCGGGGTCGCCCAGAAGATTTGGGGGGATTGGGAGGATGCTGCTGCTCGATTCTGCTGCCCAGACTCCCACAGCCCTGGCCAGACCCCCCACCCTGTGCCCACCTGGTTCTTCACGGGTGTCACGTAGCCCTTGGCCCGCCAGTCCACTCTCACTGGGGTCTTCAGGGTCTCTGAGGCTCGGAAGACCGGCCCCAGCTCCTCCTGCTGCGCTGGGATGAAGCCGTTCAGGAGCCGCTTAAACTCCTCGTTTGTCTGCAGGTCACCAAAGGAAAACCCGTGGGATGCCAAGGGTGCCCCCCTGGCAGCACAGGGCCCCACCAGCCACTGACCCCTGGGAAGCAGCCCGGCCCCAGGGGCACCTGCAGCTCCCCGTGGAACAGGCTGGGGGTACCCATCCCTGGATCAAGGCCTGGGTACACCAGGGGGCCTCTGATCCCAACATCCAGCCCTGGGTGCTCCAATGGGTCCCCAATCCCCAGATCAAACCCTGGGTGCACTGAGGGATCCCTAATCCCCAGATCCAACCCTGGGTGCTCCAAGAGGTCCCTGATCCCCTGGATCAAGCCCTGGGTGCCCCAGGGGATTGCCGATCCCCTGATCCAGCCTGGAGTGCACTGAGGGGTCCCCAATCCCCAGATCAAGCCCTGGGTGGCCCAAGAGATCTCTGATCCCCTGATCCAGCCCTGGGTGCTCCGAAGGGTCCCCAGGGAAGGTGTCAGCAGGTACCAGGTCCCCGAAGTGGTTCATGGCCAGGCGGTAGCTGTGCTTCCCCTGCGCCTCCTCCCAGTTGTGCTGCTGGATGTGGCGCAGGTTCTTCTCCCAGATCTCCCTGCGGAAGGTCTCATCCTCCTGCCACAAGGATCAGAAGGATCAGGAATGTCCCCTGGGAACGTCTCATCCTCCTGCCACAAGGATCAGAAGGATCGGGAATGTCCCCTGGGAGCGTGGGGACACGGGATGTGGGTGCACATGGGCGGCTCTGGGTGAGATCCTCCAGAACCAACCTCAGCACGTGCTGGGAGGTTTGAGGGCAGCAGGACCTACCCCTGGATACTCCTTGGCATGGAGACTCTTCCACCCTTCCCAGGCCTCCTCCAGGGTGGGATCCGGGGCGGCGGCGCAGCCCAGCAGGGCCAGCAGCACCCCCAGAGTCACAGCCAGAGCTCCCAGCTGGGGGGACGGTGAGAGTGAGGTCAGGAGGGCCCCAGGCTGAGCCCTGGGAGCAGCTCCAGCCTGGATTAGAGGAGAGGAGGGAGGCAGGGAAAGGCAAACAGAGCGGCCGAGCCAGAGGGAAGAGCGACACGTTGGTTCCATCAGCTGGATCAGCTCCTGCACGGCCTCGCTGCTGTTTGACAGGAGCTTTAGGAGGTCTCAGCCGCCCTTTGGGTGGCATTTAACTGTCCTTTCTGGGAGAGGAAGGAGCAGCTTTGGGAGAGAGCAGAGCCTGGATGGTGGGAGGAGGCAAATCCCAGCAGAAGGGCAGCGAGGGCGGCAGGGACGGGGCTGGTTGTCCCCCCGAGCACCCCACGGCCTCTCCCCGTTCCTTATGTGCCAAATCCTGCTGGTTTCCTCCACCACTGGATTGTCCCTCTTTTTGCCCTTGCCACACCGTCTCTCCCAGCACCATCAAGGAGCAGGGTGAAGGACCCTCCCCAGGAACTCAGCACCAGCAGGATGGGGCCCCAAGCAAAAGGACGAGGGGTCATGTCTGGACCCCTCTGGAGCAGGATCTGTGTGTTCACGGGGGACAACCCAACACGAGGGGGGAACAAGAGGATCTCCAAGGTCCCTTCCAACCCAAACCATTCTGTGATTCCAACCCAGAGAGGCTTTGGGACCCAAGGCAGAGCCCAGCAGAGCAGGAGCTGCGATGACCCAACTGGATGGAGCTGTTTTCACTGGAAATGCCCCAGAAATCTGCACCAGCCTCCGAGAGAGCGGCTGGAGATGGAACCAGAGAGAGGAGGTTTCTCTCCAGAGGCTGAGAAGCTGCTGCTCCACGCCCAGGCCTGAAGCCTCCCATCTGTCCTGGGGTGCCTGTGTGGACGTGCTCCACCAAAATCCCTCCATGAGGATTTTCCAAGATCAACTTACACCCTTTCTTTCGGCCAGCACAGACACACACGGCCCGGCCCAGCCCAGCCCCTTCCACCACAGCCCCCTGTGCCTTCCCTGGATACCCCACACCTCCTCTGGGGGACCCTGGGATTTCTGAGCCACTCCAGGTATTTTGGGGGTGCTGCCTGCACGGCCCAGGCCAGAGATCAAATGCCTGAGGCACCCCCAGCCCCCCAGAGTTTCCACTGACGTGGCTCTCCGAGAGCAAGAGCCGCCATTGCACCTTTATCCCGCCCGCTCTGGGAATGGAGATGCCGGGGAGTTTTCCGTGAGAGCATCTTTCAGGGCAAGGAGTGACTTTTCTGAGCTAATTCTGTAGCTCGAGGAGCGAGTTTTGTTTTAAAAATAAGCCCTCGAGAACATCTGTTCTCCCCTCCACGTCCTCCACCTAAAAATAAAGCCCCTCAGGGCGGATTTTTTGCGGGAGAAATGCCTCCCGAGCCGCTCTCAAGTCCCAAATTCTTGAGGAAGAGTCGTTTTTGCCCAGTTTCCCCAGCACCCGCCACTTCCTCCCCGTCGTTACTGCTCAGGAAATTATCTCAACTTCATCCTCCAGCTGCAAATCCTCCACCCAGCACACCCAGCTGCTCCCTATTCCCACTACCTTTCCCTCGGGATGTCGGGGCGGGGACCTCCCACATCATTTGTATTTCAATCCCCCGACAGAGCCTGTTCCATATGGAATAGCTCAGGATTGCAGGGAGGCAGATTTCCCACTTAATTCCTCTCGGGATTCTTCAGCCCCCCCAAAAGAAGACAAGCAACCCCTCTTTAGGGCTCCAAACAATCCTGCAGCGAGCTGGGGGGGATCAGAGGAGCCGACAGATCTGCAAACTCTTCTAGACAAGAGCGTTTTAAAGACATTTTAAGAAACACTTGGCTTTTCGGGGACAGGAAAAAAGCAGTTTAAATTAAGACTGGAAAGCAACAACCCCTGCAAAAATAAAGCTTCTTACCATCCTCAGGCACCCACCCGGCTGTGAGGGTGGCAGGGAGGGGGGGAGCAGCTTTGCTGGCTGCAGGTTGCTCTTATAGACCCCTCAGAGAGCTGCAACTTTCCCTCCATCACGTCCCTCCTTCCGCCCCTCCGACCTCAAAACCCGCATCCGGGGCTGGGTTGTAGGAGCCAAACAACAAACTGCAATAATCGGGACAGTTATTTGGGCACAGGGACAAGAAGGGGTCGGGGAGGGGGAGATGTGCTCCCAGTTGTCTTCAGGAGACAAAATGCTCCAGCTGTAAGAAGCTTTGCATTTAAAACAAGCCTCAGGCAGCATCCTCAGGGCATTAACAGAGGGCTAATTAATGCCTGGCTCCCATGGAGGAGGCAAGGCCAGGTTTGGGAAGCTTTGAGGGCGAGCAGAGGCAGGCCCAGCTCCGCAAAAAGCAGCTCCTGTGGGATCCAGCGTGGGATCAGAGCCCCTAAATCCCACGGGAGGGATGTGGGGTGGGGGGTGAGGTGCCCACCCCCAGGCTGGTGCTGCCTTGCTCCAGCCAGGAACACAGCCCAGGATTCCCAGCCCTCAGTTGCTGGGATTGTGCTTCCCCCGAGGAACATCAGGGATTTAATATTCTCTCCACTGCTCGGCACAGAAAGGAACAGAGCACTTGGCTTTCACCAGAGCCACTCTGGCTGTGGGAGCAGCTGCCATTCCCTCCCGCACCCCCAAAGCACCACCAACGTCTCTTTCCAATATTTTAATGAGTCGCTACATCTTAACACTCATAATTATAAAAGAATAAGAATCCATAAAAATATTTTCTTTTCATAATACGCACTTAAAATACTCCAGGGCAAAGTCAACGTGGTTCATTTGGGTGGGTTTTGTTTCTTTTGTTTGCGTTTTGCCCCCTGGCAGGACCCCTTGGCTTGAAGGGGGGGATGTGCTCCCCTGAGGTGTGATTGCTCAATCCCCCCTCCCCAGAACTGCAGTTCCTGTTGCCCAGGTAAATTTAAAACCAGGAGAGAGCGGTTTTTTTTGTTTTTTCTGAGTAGGTGGGCAAGGGGGACCAGTCACTGACCCGCAGAGAACTGAAGCACAGCCAATTTCAGTGCACATCTGAAAGCTCGGGGAGGAGGGGGGTGGAAGGAGGAGGTGGGATCAGGAGGCGGCACAGAGAACGGAGGGAGGGAGGATTTGCATAAATATCATCCATCTTGTGTTGCAAAAAAACCCAGATGCTGCTGTGAGCTCTGGAGAGAGGCTCTGGTTGTAGCCAGCTGCCAGTGCTACCTGTTGTTGGCACAACTCTGCGCGCGAGCGGCCATGAGAGGAAGGATCAGAGGACGCTGTCACCGGCCCCAGCCACTTCCTCCATCTGCTCTGCAAAATGAAACTGGAAAATAAGATAGATATACCTAAAAAAAAAAAAAAAAAAAAAAAAAAAAAAAAAAGAAGACTAGTGTTGCATGCTTCTGTAGAGCTCTCTTCGCATCCCAGGGCTCCAGGGTGGCAGCAGGGCCAGGTCACAGCTCGATCCCCGGGGTTAGCAGTAGGTAGTTCTCTCTTCCCTCCCACTCCTGGCTTAAGGCAGCTTCTGATTCGGCTCTTCTTCCGTTTCCAACACAGGCACTGAGTTCTTGCAGGTAAGAGTGTGGGAACTGCACAGGGGCAGTGGAAAAGGGGGAAAAGGATTGGCAGGGAGAGAGAGAGAGAGAGAGATGGGCACAAACCTCAGCCTCGGGAGACAGACCACTGTCCATTGATTCCCAGGAGAGAGGGAGTAGCAGCAAAAAAAGCATTGAACAGCCAGGCTGGAGGAGAGGAAGAGGACGAGCAGCCGAGCAGGGGCAGACCTCCAGCTTGGAAAGTGAGAGAAGGTGGCACTGTCCAGAAAGGGAAGGTGCCCTCCAGCCTTCCCCTGGCGCGGGGGGACACCCAGCCCGCCGTGGGCACTCGGCCACTTGTGCTCTGGGTTCGACGGCTGTCGGGGGCAGGAGGGCACAGGAGTGGGGGTGAGCTGTCAGTGTCCAGTTTGCAGAGGCTCGTGCTCTCAGAGGTATTCTTGTAGAAAGTGCAGCAGCGTGATTTCGTAGTGCTCTCCTGACTCAGGGCACCGAATACTGTGTCTCTCGTTGGGGTAGATCTGTGCAGGGGCAGACACAGGGCACTCGGTCACTCAGCAAGGACAAAACTCCCTCACATCAGCCCTGCTCCCTCGACCCAGTCTTCATCAGGACAAAGAGGTGCCAGGGAAAGTCTGGAGCACCAACCCCTCCCTCATTGGTGCCCTGTTCCCTCAGCTCAGTCTCCAATAGGACAAAGATGTGACAGGGAAAGTCTAGAGCACCAACCCCTCCCTCATCGGTGCCCTGTTCCCTCAACTCAGTCTCCAATAGGACAAAGAGGTGTCAGGGAAAGTCTGGAGCACCAACCCCTCCCTCATTGGTGCCCTGTTCCCTCAACTCGGCCTCCATCAGGACAAAGAGGTGTCAGGAGAAGTCTGGAGCACCAACCCCTCCCTCACTGCAGCCACCTCTGCTGCCACCAGCCAAGTGGGACAGCAACAGCTCGTGGAGAAGGAAAGTTCCAGGCCCAGGGCAGCAGCCCTGCCTGCACGTGCCACATCTGGCAGTGATGGAACAGCCACAGTGCCACCTCCCGGCCTCCAACGAGGTGCTGATTGCCACCAACATCACAACAGGATGTGGGAGCACCTGCCCCCACCTCCTCCTGCCCCCACCTCCTCCTGCCCCAGGAACACACACAGCAGAGAACTCTTCCAGGTTTATGGGACCTTCCCACTCCACTCCTGTCCCTCCTACCTGCAGCTGGTAAGGTTTTCCAGCCCGGATTAGCTGCGATACCAGGAAGTTGGTGTGAAAAAAGTGCACATTTTCATCCAAAAAGCCATGGAGGATCAGCAAACGGTTTGGCCTGGAGATGGGGTGAGGAACAGGAGGAGGAACAGGATGAGGACAAGTTTGGGAAACCACCTAAAAGCTCTGCAGAGGGTCTGAGCAAAGAGCTGCCAGCTGGGCAAGCCAAAACTGACCAAGAGCAGTGCCAGGCCATGGCCATGGGCTTCAACCCCTCCCTGGCAGAGGGGGCTGGCAGTGCCATGGCCCAGCTGCTGCCGACGGCAGCGACCGGCACCGGGACTTAAACGGGATCAGAACCCACCCATTCCTTTGGGATTGAGCAGAGGTGCCAGTGGTGGCAGCCAGCAGGACCCAGGGGCAGGTTTTGAGCGGGCACTCACTCGTTGGGAAGCTTTTCCACGTGTAATGCCACAGAGCCAGCCTCGTAGCCCTGCTGGTTGTTCTCCGGGATGTCCATGTACCGCTCGGTGTAGCCGGTGTCGTAGGCCATCCACACTGTGACAGGAGCACCTGCTATGGCAATCTGGCACACAGGGAGACAGGAGACAGCCTCAGTTATCACCTGCTGAAGAGTTCAAGTGTTCCCTGTTTCCCTGAAGAGGCAGGAAAAAGCAGGCTCTGGACTGCCCTGTCGCTCAGAGTGGGATTCTCCTTCAGCCACGTAAAGACCAGGTTCCTCCTCCTGCTGTTCCCTCTCATGGTCACAATGGGGCAAATTCCTGCACACCAGCACTAAAGGCTGCTCCTTTTCAAGGAGGACTTGTGGGATGATGGGCTGGGGAAGGGGATTGGGAATAGCACATGAGTTATCTCACTGGATGCTAGGCCAAGCCCTCCACTGGCAGGCACCGGGGAAGGAGCCCATCCCAGAGCCATCCTCCTCCAGCCCCAGCCAGGTGTGAGCTGGAGCAGGATACAGGACTGCAGCCAGGAGCTACAGGCAGTCCCTGGGGAAGGAGCCCATGCCAGTGCCATCCTCCTCCAGCCCCAGCCAGGTGTGAGCTTTATCAGGATCCAAGGCTGTAGCCAGCAGGACTGAGGGACATTTCCACCTGTCCACTCGAAACAAGCCCAAAATCCAACTCCAGCTGCCAGGAGTGACAAAAGCTGTGAGAGCCAAGAGTCCCATGGTGACAACCCTGTGTCCAGACTCACCTTGAAGACATTGGGTTTACAGATGAGCCCCATGAGGGACAGAAACCCCCCGTAGGACCAGCCGTGGATGGCGACCCGGCTCAAGTCGATGAACCCGTATTTTTCTGCTACATAATGTAAACCTTCCACCTGGTCCTCTATCTCCACCTGACCCTAAAAGGCAACAAAAGGAGGCCCATATTAGTAGAATTCCTAAATCTAGAAACCTCACACAAGCAGCCAACACCCTTAGGAAGGACAAATGGTCAGAGATTCATCGGCACAAGCAGGACGTTACCATCTGGTTTTTTAGGGCCCCTTCAAATTTGAGTCCTCGCTGGCACGATCCCCTGCCATCAATCACCACCACAGCATAGCCCAGGGATGCCAACGTGTTCAGCCTCAGGTACTTGATGCCTTTGAAGGAGTTATTCACCAGCTGCACCTGCAGAAGGAGGCAAGAAAGAGTTTCAGAGCTGAGCAGTTGCCTTCCAGTACCTTCCTGTGTCTGCCCCGCTCTGCAGGGTCCTGAGCTGGTAATTGAGCTATCAGAGCCATGGAAATCAAAACAAATGCTGGAAAAATCATCTGAGGTTTGAAGCAGAGGTCGGAACACAGGGACAAACTAAAAGAGAGTGGGTTTAGATTAGGTATTAGGAGGCAGTTCTTTGCCTGTGAGAGTGGAGAGGCCCTGGCACAGGTTGCCCAGAGCTGTGGATATCCCATCCCTGGAAGTGTTCAAGGCCAGGTTGGAGGGGGTTTGGAGCAACCTGGTCTAGTGGAAGGCATCCCTGCCCATGGCAGGGGGTTGGAATGGATGATCTCTAAGATCCTTTCCAACCCAAACCCTTCCATGATTCTGTGACAGTGCTCATAAACCACAGTGCAAGTCTTGATGCACGACCGAGCCACAGAGCCCTGCCCTGGGCAGCAACCCCACCCCTGGCACAGCAGCCCCCCTGGATCATTACCTGGGGGCCTCCATACACAAAGAGCACCGTGGGATGCTTCTTCCCAGGCTGGACATCGTGAGGTTTGTAGACCATTCCATAGAGCTCAACATCCGCCTGAGTGCGGAAGTGAAAGATCTCCGGAGGGACGTAATCCGGGGGACAACCTGCAGCAGGAAGGTCACACGCTGGCAGTGAGGTGATGGCAGCAGGTTCTGCCTCCCACCCTGCCTGAACAAGCTCCTTCTGTTCAAACCTGACCCTGGTCAGGGCTCTTTCAATACCAAACCACACCAAAGCCCCTCTCTGGGAAACACAGAGCCCCCACCTGCCTGCCCAGGGAGATAAAGAAGGGATCCCACAGGAAAAGCTGCTGGGAATTCTCCAACAAGGAACTCTGTGCCACAACAGCAAGG